GCCCGGCGGGAGCTGAGGCGTGGGAGCCGCTGGTGCTTGGAGGAGGAGGAGGAGCAGCGTGATAGCACCTGTTTCGTGTAAAATAAAGATCATTGATCAGGGATAGAAAACTTTTTTGGGGTTTTTTTGGGTGGATTTTTTTTCTTGCTGTCGAGACAGACCAGTCTGCCTGCATTCACTTCAGCAGTCATAGGCCTTGGCATCTGTTGGTGCTGCCTCTCGTGTTAGTAGCTGCACGCTTTTAGTGTTGCCAAAGAGTGACTAGTTTTTACCCTGAATCAAACCTTAATTTTGATAGTAGTTAAAAAAACAAAATGCAGAAAAGGAGTACTTTAAGATCAGTAAACATTCACTAGATCATAAAGTGTTCCCTAGATCATTGAATACTTACTACTTTGCTAAATACTGATTAATCAAAAGTGTTAACTGTAGTCAGTTATTCTGACTAATGGAGATGGCAAATGCTGTCTACAAGTAAATGGTCTTTTTTTTTTTCTCCTATTCATTCTTTCCCATCTCAGGTTGAAAAAGGAAAAATGGTTCCTTTGAACAAACCAATCATTGACCCAAACTAAATGAAATGGAAGATTTTTTTTTTTCTCCTTTCAGAACTTGCTGAAGAAGCCAGTGTCATCAAAACCAGGCTTAGAACTTCAGCAAAGTGAAGTGATCACAAGGGCTTACTCAGTTACTTTGAGCACTTCCGTAGTTCATCCTTAAAAATATTTGTACCTATTATTTTGAGTGGATTTTAGAGCCTATATTACATTTGCATCTTAAAGTATGCAACTGCTATTAATTGTTATATTAGATGATTTCTTAATTGCATAATAATCGCATTACCGATAGCTGGTTTGACTCTAATAGATTTGTAACCCCTTAATTCTTATCCTTCCTTCTGTTGGCCTTAATGACTAGCGCTTGATCAGTCAGTAGTTATTGTAAAGAAATGTAGATAGTTGGAGATGATGAAGTTTACATGTTTAAAGAGTTACAGTTAGTCAGGTAGTCAACCATGCATGCTTTTAGCCAGCTGTAGGCAAAGCATGCTTGTTGTTTAAACCAGTTTACACATGATTATCTTTTTAATTTCCTTCTTACAGAAGTGATTGGTGTGTGGGGGGGGTAATTCACCAATATTAAACCTAAATTGTAAAGTCAAAAAGTTTCATTTAGAATTGTGCTAGTGACTAAATGCAGTTATGGTGCTGAAAAGGTGTGGCTTTATTGTAAGATTGCCCCTCCCATCTCAGTTGAATGCATTTAAAAGCTTGCTATACACAGAAAAAAAGAAGCTTAGCATCTTTCTTTTTCTTCTCTTGCTGCTGACTGCAGTTATGTGTCCCTGTGCCTTCCCCAGTTCCCCCTTTTTCATTGTGTGTACCATTTTCTCCTTTTTGGGGTAGTATTTTTTTCTTCTGGGTGAGTGAGCTGAATCAGTGCGGATCAGAGGCTGCTTACTTTGTTGATTTTTTTTTTTTTAAATTTTTTGGGGGGTATGTGTGAATGTTGACGTTGACTAGAAAAAAAGGAACATTTTAACATATCGAAACTATAGTACAGAAAAACAAGTCTTAATTGTAAAGCGTTAGTGTTGATCAGTCAAGTAACACTTTGAAATTACAAGTTCCTCTTATTATACAACTGTTCTTCCATACCTTTGTTTTTAGTGATGTGTTAGAAGTTTTGCAGCTGTTCTCGAATAAATTGACAGAGATAAAATACTTGAAATTACTGTTACTATCTTCAAATTTTTGCATACAATGATGGGGGTAACAGTCCTTTTTAATTAAAAGCGTCAATTGTGAGGCTGCTGTGCTCTTTAAATCCTTGATGTTCCTGACACATTTAAATACAGAAAGTAGTTTCTTACAGAATCACTGAGGCGGGAAGGGACCTCTGGAGATCGTCCAGTCCAACCCCCTGCTCAAGCAGGGCCACCTACAGCAGGTTGCTCAGGGTTGGGTGGAGTCGGGGTTTGAATACCTCCAAGGATGGAGACTCCACAACCTCTCTGGGCAACCTGTGCCACTGTTACCACCAGCACAGCAATTGTTTTTTTGTTTGTGTCTGGTTTTTGTTTTGTTTTTTTTTTAATGTTGAACTTCTTGTGTTTCAGACTTTCCCATGTGTCATACCTGAACAATATCAGAAGACACTCTTAGTGTGTACTGTGTATCTTCGTTACATGTTGTATGATTAATCTCATTTTCTGACAAGCTTAGTGTGTTGGGGGTGTTTTGTGTGGTGTGGTGGGTGGGGTTTTTTTTTTTTTTTTTTGTACAGTAGGTTCTTCATGTGGTTATTTTCAGAAAGTTTTCTGAGAGTGGCACTGATACAAGTCTGAGGATTAACCATACTCATATATTCCAGATGAGAGTGAAGATTTCCAGAAGCTTGCAGAAAGGGAAATCGCCTCCTGTGAAGAAGAGATAGCCGAACTGAAACACCAGGTTAGATCCCCTTTAAAAGCCTCGATTTCCTTGCCATTCTTAAATTAACAAAGCCGAATTGTCTTCTCATCAAAATAAGATGTGTACGATAAACTCTTCTCCTCCTCCCCTCCCTGCCAATTATATTCCTCAACTAGTGTCTGTTATCTAAGCAAAATGAAAAATGCAGATAGTATAGGAACAGCCTGTAAGCGCGTGCCTGCTTGTATCTGAATTGTTTAAATCAATGCATCTTTGTAAGTAGGTGCTATAGTTTGTCTTGTCTGGGTGTACCTTTATGGATGTCCAGCTTTTTATCTATTGAAAACATTAAACTTGTATCACACACACTGGTTGTTTTGAAAAAAATAGTTTAATACTATGTAACTACTTTAGCCTGCTACCTTATACATGTTCTACATAGTATCTATGTCGTTTAACATCAAAATAATGATCTTTATATAAAGAAACTGTTACATATTCTTAATGTTGCTGGTGAAGTAGCAGCTGGTATTGTCACGTTCTTTATTCCTTCAACAACAATACAACAGTCACTTTATAAATATTTTTGTAAATACTTACAATTTTGCTGAAAAAAGGAGAAATCCATGGAAAGAAACATCACCTAATGCTAGTAAAGGAAGATGATTGAAAAACCTTTGCAAGTCATCCAGAGTTTTGATCCAGCCTGCAAAATTGTTATACAGGTTTTTTTTGTTCTAGTGTATCTTTCTTCTACAGATCAATGTAAGGCTGGCTCTCCCAGCCTTATAATAAATAAATGAATAAAATACAATTTATAAGTTTTTTATAAATAAATAAATGAATAAAACAGCTGAGTTGTTGTTGAAGGACTGTCCCCCTGAACATCCATACCTTCTTGTCCCCCTGAACATCCATACCTTCTTGTCCTCCTGAACATCCATACCTTCTTGTCCCCCTGAACATCCATACCTTCTTACCTCTGCAGCTGAGACCGGGTTAAAAGGGAATCGGATGGGAAGGGAGATGCCCGGTTGTCTTGCAAGAACCGGCGTGTATCCTGTGGCGTCCAAACGTCGCAGTGCTCCTGAAGGGTGAAAACTTCTGTGAAGTTCCGTAGGTCTCTGCCAAGACCTGCGTAGCCCCTGCGACGGTGAACAGACGCAGGGACAGGGAGCCTTCCTGCAATGCAGCATCCCCCCGCCTCTTGCTGACCGCTGCCTCTTCGCTGCAGGAGCCCCGAGACGCCTGTCCTCTGGGCAGCCCCCCAGCTAGTGCCGAGAACGCAGCCTGGGTCGGTGACCGGCTCGTCTGGGATTTTATACTATCTCAGTTGCGGATAGCAGTGTCTGAGGGAAGTCTTAGCTGTGTGTTTTTGTATTCGCAGATAGTGTTGCTTCTGATTCCTTCAGAAGAAACAGACGAGAGTGATCTTGTCATGGAAGTAACCGCTGGAGTTGGAGGGCAGGAAGCCATGCTGTTCACCTCGGAGATATTTGATATGTATCAACGATATGCTGCCTATAAAAAGTGGAAATTTGAAATATTAGAGTTCTCTCCCAGTGAACTAGGTCAGTAATGAAAATACTCAGTCTTTGTAACTTTTTAATTTAAGTTGAAACACTCGTTCATATGACACTTGAATTTCCTGACTACAGGAAGCTAATGTGCACTAACTTAATTTTAGAAGCGGAGGATTGTTTGAATGTCTGAGTACAATTTTCCTCAGCTTCTGTATTTGAGAATGAAATTCCATTTCAGAAGTGCTACTAAAATACTAAAGTGCTTGTCTTTCATTAGTTTCAAAAAGTAGAAATGAAACTAAGTGCTTGGCAGAAGAAAATTCAGAAAGTGATGCAGATATGTTGTTTTATCTTGATTTTTTTCTTTTTTTTTCCCAAATACAGATTACATACACTTTTTATTTGGATATGCTGTTCTACGTAGTTACTTAATGTTTCTAGTGTTTATAGATCAGTTTGGTGGCAGGTTGAAAGTCTGTTTATTATTACAGATCCCTTGGCAGAGAGGGATCAGTATAATTAAAACTGTTCTTCAGGTTTAATCTAAAACATCTTGAATTTATCTGAAATAATGTCATCTGAGGATTTATATAAGGAAGTGGGATGTTTGGATATAGCTCAACAGCTAATGGATGAGCAAAGTGGGGGAATTGTTGAGACTCTGAGAGGAGAGATAAGAGATCTAATTATTTATGAAAGTCTACAACTAAAATTTCACAGGTAATCAGTTTAACAGCTTGATGCCAGTAAAAGATGTTTCTCCTTTTCCCCCCCTTTCTTACTGCCTCTCTGCCTGTCTGAGCGGTCCTACTTTTTTTTTTTTTTTTTTTTTTTTTTTTTTTTTTTTTTGTCTGTTTTGATGTCCTTACACTTAAACTGGCAAAGACTTTGCTTTTTATGACTGGGATAGTTTTTTGCCTAATTAATGTGTTAAGTCAGTTCTCCTGAGCCTTAGAGCTAGCATAAGATAAGCAGCAAGGTGGGGTTGAATGCAAAGAGGTGGAAAAACTGGGTCTTTTGGTGGTGATGAGCTGTGAAGTTGGTTCACTGCATCTCACGGAACAGTGTCTTTGCAAAGATGGGGATTGGTAGGTTTACACAACAAACTGAGGCAGTGGCACATGTTAGTTAATTTTAGTTTAATCCAGTTAGTGTGTAAAGTTGTTTCACAAAGGTAAGGCTGCTGTCTGTTGCTGCTGTCTTCTTTGCATTGGCACTTGTGGTTATGTCTTCACAGAGTCTTATCACCAAGTCAATCTGAGTGAACAAAAGCACAATCCCCACCTCTGCCCCGACTAGTTTTCAGGTAATCTAGCACAAGAGGAGAGGAGAAATGCTCATGGGGGCGGTGGAGGCAGAAGTGTGTGGCTGCTGGTGGTGGCAGTGAGAAAACCAGGACCTCCTTCCAGCAGCAAGAGGCTCACTCAGCTTAAGCCAAGTGTGAAACTGCAATCCCAAACATGCCCAACGAGTAGCAGGGATTTCAGGTTTTGATTGACAGATCGCTAGCCACGTTTCTTAGCAGGCTAGAAAGTCTGTGTTAACAGATCTGCAGGCTTACTGTTATCCATGCTGCTGTGAGTAAAGCTAGCACGTTTTGCTTACATATTGCTATGGAGGTAGTGTATATATTGTAGTGGGTACGGATCGGTAGATGGGCACTTGTGCAGCTTATTGCTCCTAGTTTAGACTGGTTGTGAAACTTTACCTGTATTCATACTTTCACCAGCATTTTTTTCTTTTTTTAGTGAAACTTTGAAGAAGAAATGAGAAAAGCTAGGGTGCTAGGGTATGCAATCTGTCAGAAAAAACTCTAATCTTTTTTTCAGTCAACACTTAATGTAATTGCAGAGAGATTTTTATCAAGCTTTGAGAAATGTGAAGCATTTTCCAACACTTCCTCTGTTTACTTATGCCATATTTTGGACTCAATGATATTTTCAAGTATCTTGAACCCTTTCTGTTTCACCCATGTAGAAATTCACAAAAAAATAAATATACACAACTCTCTTAATTGAGCTTCTCATGTGAGTGAGCTACTTTCCCCTTTTAATGAGGGTCTTTCAGTGCCCTAAGACCCTTCTTGCATAAGTACAGGTTTTGATTCACTGTTACGTATTGAGGCATTAAAAGAAGGTTCAAAAATGGGACTCCGTGGAAGAAATACAGTCGGACATCACAAACTGGGAACTTGAAAATCTAGGTACGGGTTTGATTCGTTGTCTGTATTCACACTTCAAAAAAGGGAGGCCCACGTCTTCACCACCTTTGAGATACGCAGATACAATTTAACTTACCATGGATTTCACTTACACTTCTGGGTTCTTAAAATCTCTACTAGAATTTGTTTTTAAAAATGTTATATATGTAAGATGTTTGAATAGCTTTCTTTAGAGTTCCTGGTAGGTGACTTATTTCAAATTGATGAACATGAACTCAGGTTTTCACAGTATCAGAATCTCCTTTTAGATTGGCTGCTGTCAATTCAATTAATATACATTTTTTTAATTTAATGACACTTGAATTCAGTACTGTCTATTATCTAGATTTGTTACTATTAATAAACTTTTTTTCTGGTCAAGAGGTCTTTTGTCAAGTAAACTCTTTGCACAGTTCAAGTGAAGGTAGCGACAAGAAGAAGCTTCGTGTTACGGCGCAGCTTGCTGCTCAAAGAGGAAGATCGTGTTTATCCCCATTCATGACCAGGCAAATGCTTTGCCAGCAGCTGAGCCAGTTCAGCCTTCAAAGCCAACAGAAATCTATTAACTTTTTTTTTAAGTAAATGGAATAAACATGGTGCAGGTTAGATGGCTGTAAACAGAGTAGGGGAAGGGTCTGCATCGTCTTTATTTCATGCACTAGGGGGAGAGGAGAGTTGCCCTTTCTACTGAGGCAAGGCTTAGATGGGGTAAATCCCAGCAGTCACGTACAACTTCACCTTCAGAGCACAGTTTCACAGTCAGCTTAAACAAGGGCTGTCCCCCCTTCTAGCCCGCTGCCTGTATGTTCCTTCTCTCGGCTCTAGCAATTCTTGAGGCCATGGTGCTAATCCACTGATTTGGCTTAAAAACTCTCTGTTACTGGATAGTTTTAAGTCAGGTCTGACTCAACTTGCGGTCCTGTGATTGGAAGAGAAAGGGAGTTGTTCTTGACTACCCTTTTGGTGAAAGCTCAGTCCTTGGGCAAGGAACCCACGCCCTCAGAGGCATTCTCTTTAATGCCTTAGATGGGAAATTGAAGTAATACATTAACCCAGTATATATCTAGCCGTATTTTCTCTTTGAAACTGCTAGGTTTTTAATGGATGTATATTTATTTTAAATACTTTCATCTTGCTGAGGGCTTGCCTGTGCACTGAAATTAATGCTTAGGAAGGTAGGATGTAAATTTAGAGAAGAATAAAGGCAGGCCTACCCTTTGTCAGCCTCTTGCAGTGTATTTTCTGATCTTACTTGCATGACCACATATTATCAAAACTGAGGAGCTAGAAATAAATTGGGAGGTAGGGGCACTATAGACGGCACTGCCACTGAAAGGCATGTTTGAACCTTCAGGTTGAAAGTGTCTGTGCTGTGCTGAGTAAGAATGGAGTTAAGGATGCTTGCTGGTGACGCAGGATGTTGCATCCCAGTCCATTTTTATGGACTGCATGAGCAAAAGCAAGGTCCTACATTAACATGTCAAACTCCGGTGTTTCAGAGAGCTCCAGAATTTGGATGAAGTCCAAATGTGAGCATGTGTGAACAAGATGAATGTTAAACAAAGCTGCAATTAAGAATTGGTTTTAGTCAGCTTTTAACTGACTTTATTGACCTACCCCAAGGGATGCCACTGTGCAAAAATAGCACGTTCAAGATTTAGCATGCCCATTAAAGCACGAACCCACATGTCATTATTTATCCACTGCCTCTCAACCTGTAGTGGCAGGCAGACACACAGATAGGAGACTTTTTCTCACTCTGAGTATAAGATGCCACATAAAAAATGAGTGCAAACTCACACCCTTGTTCTGTGCACATCAGCGTTCAGGATGGAGAGGGACATTTTAATTGAAAGGGGCAAACACATAGTTAGTAAGAGCTAACTATGTTTGGCAGGCCTACAACATGTCTGCCAGGGTAAAGGGTTTGTTGAAATTTAATTGGATTTAGCTGCATTTCATATTAAACCTGTGTTGGTAATAGTTGATTTGAAGCAGTATGACCTAAATACCTGTCTTGTGAACCAGTTTCTTGGTCATCTCATGCTGAGTACTATGGTGCCACAGGCATGCTGTTATCACTACAAACTTAAACTCTCCTGAACGTGTCACAGATGTGGCTGCAGCTCAAATAGACAGACTGTAACCATGGTATATATATTAATGCCAGAAGAAGTGAAGGAGAAAAGACAGAACATTAGCTTTTGCAATGAACTGCTTATCAGGTAATTAATACTTGTCAGTAGTGCCGTAGTCTTGTGGACATTCACATTATTTTTACTCCTGACGTAGCCTGACCTCTTCCTCATGTGCAGAGATTGCTTATGATTTTTTTAGTGCTTGCTTTTATATGTAAAGGAGTAAGTTTTATTACTCAACTACATCAATTATTTTAAGTTATATAAGATTCTTTTAGAGTAAAGAAGAAATCTTTTATTCATTTGAATAGCATTTACAAAACAGTAGAAAGATTTCACACTACGTGTTAGAATGAAACTTACTGACCTAAACTGAAGATTTTGACAGATACTCTTATTTGTTAAACTACATGCTTTATGGTCAGATTTATTCTAAACATGATGGATTTATAGTAGAATTGATCGCAGATAATGGCTATAAATTTAATCAGTGAAGACCTAGGTATGTTGAACAGTGCATTTGAATCAAAGTGGTACAGATTTGTACAAGTAGGAGAAAAATTTTAGAAGTCAGAAGGACAAAAATGAGGTGAAAGAGAAAGGAAGGGGCAGTTTAGTCTATTTTCCACAAACATGACTGTAAACCAAAATATGTTTTAGTAAAGATATGAAGGAATATTAAATTTCTGTAGAATAAAAACATTTGCAAACCTTCTCTATGGAGGTGAAAAACCTGGCCTACGTTTTGGCTGATTTTTTCCTGCCCTGCAGGGCATTCTCAGATTCTATGTTGTCTTCATTTTCCTTTTTTAAAAAGCTTCTATCTTGTCCCTGTGGTTGATTTCTTTAGTCTAGAGATAGCCTAAACCAGTATTTCTGAGAAGTATGTGCCTCTTCTTTTCCTCGGCTGTGGTTTCATGTTGCAAGACTTCAACAGCAATACTCTTTCAAGGGCACCTATCTCTTCTTTAATCATTCCCTTGGCACACCATCCACTATGCTGAGAATAGGATCTGGGAACTGAGCTGGATTAAAAATGAAAACGAGTAAAAAATTACATTCATTTATAGGGCCATCCCTTCTCTGATCCTTCAAACAGTTATACTGGCACGACTGAAGGGTTTGTACACTAGCAAACAAGGAAGAGCAAGAATGACATAGACCAGTATTGCAACAAACTCTTTCTGTAACAAAACCATGATTGTATTGGGCTTTACTTCCAAGTTCCAACCTGTTCAATGCTAGTTTTTAGTACATTGCTGTCAAGTGTTTTGCTGGTTGTATTGGTAAGAGGGGCTGGAGTTGGAGTTCTGCTCGCTCCAGGGCAGCAAAAGATTAAAATGAAATGAAAAAGCAAAGACGAGACACGGGTAGGATGCATTGAGGAGAATGGATAAGAAGAGGAGTATGAATAATACTCATCCTTTAGTTAAAGAGTTGGGCTTTTTCCCAGTGGATGATAAGGTTCTGAACTAACAATAAAAAAATTGATGTAGTTTCTGAAGGTGGTTTTCAAAATTTGATCTTTATGTAAACTTACTACTGGTGTTAGAGTTCTACTATGGTTTATGATTGTGTGTATACATGTGTGTACATTGTTCATAGACAATCTTTTTATGTATATAAAAAAGTTAAATTGGACTCTATAAAAAAGAATTTGACAGTCCTTTACTTGAGATAGTATGTGACAATGTATGTCTGGCTTTGTTTTTAAGAGTTTTTTTGCATTTTCAGTATAATTCTGCCTAAGTATTTAAATGGTAAATTCATAATTTAAAGAAACAAATGACAATGATGTCTAAATACACTGTTTGAAATATAACAGCATAGTACCAACAGTTTTTCTTACAGCTTTACAATTGTTTTTCTTCTGTATTTAAGGTGGCCTAAGACATGCAGTTGCCAGTATAGCAGGTCTTGAGGCTTACAAGTACATGAAATTTGAAGGAGGAGTGCATCGTGTTCAACGGGTGCCAAAGACAGAAAGACAAGGACGCATTCACACCAGCACAATGACTGTTGCAATATTACCCCAACCCACTGAGGTAATATTTATCTTTTAGTATAACAGACTTTACCATGAGCAATGTTTTTATATGCCGTATTGCTGATACCCAAGTGTTTTCTGTCTCTCTTGTTATTCTCTCTTAATGACTTTTTTTTTAATCTTAGTTTTAAACTAAGTCATATTTGTTTGTTTAATTTTGTCTAGGGGGGTGAAATAAAGAATTTCTGGATTTCCTTATAAGCCTAATCTCAAGAAAGTCACTGGCAGTTTACTTCACTAGAACTTGAAAATTCACTGTGACTGTCTTGCATGTTTTGTGGAAAACTTTACATTTTTCACAAAGTAATGAAAGACTGAATTAGTTTACAGAGCTCATAGAGATTTCTGCTAGCACCTCCTTTTCCTCATTTTTGTAGTGTCCTCACTTTCCCCTTCCAGAGTGTACAGGTGATAATTCATTCTCGACCTGTTTGCTTGGTTAAAAACAACTGGCTAAGAATTAAAGCTTTGTTTTGATCTTTGTTTCATGTTGACCTAGCAAATTGTCAAAGATGTGACTCCTTCCTGTTCTCTCCTGAAGTTCTCTCACTCCTTCCTCCCAGAGACCATCACCTTATTCCAGAGCCAGCAAAGGGAATATGTTCCATTTTATCTAAAAACCATCTGGTCAAGTTCAAATATTGGTTAACTCTGCTGGAAGAGGGTGCAGAGCTTTCAGAAGAGGGGGAGGATTAGTGCTAAGGGATGGTTATGCCTTAAGCTACTATTTGTCCGATTTCCTGGCTTCCATCATTTTGCATTCCAATCTGGCTACAAGCATTTGTTAATGTGTTTATGGGTGGATGCAAGCTACCACTCGTAAACTTTAAAAAGTTTGACCTTGCCTGAATGTGCCTCATAAAATAAACCAACTATGTATATTTGACATCTGTCTAGAAAGAAACAACATAAATGTGTTCTTTTTTTTTTCCCCCCATCTCCTATAACAGATGAGGCTGCAAATTAATCCGAAAGATCTGCGGATAGAAACAAAGCGTGCTAGTGGAGCTGGGGGCCAGCATGTCAATACCACAGACAGTGCTGTACGGATAGTTCATATTCCAACAGGTGCTTCATCTTTTCCTTAGTACAAGATCTACATTGCAAAACTGCTGTCAGAATTTCTTTTGAAACAATGGTTTTATTTTCAAACCTGAACACCAGTAGAGCAGAGTTTTCACACAGTTTTCATGTGTGTTTATAGTACTCTAAATGCACCATCTTGCACCCACTCCAATTTGTAATAGTGAAGACTACTGGCTTCAGTAGGTAAGCTATCCATTTTGCCATTAAGCTTGACACTCTAAAAGCATCCAGATCAGTTTCTATGAAAAAGTTGTATTTAAACTTTCAGGTAATGGAAAAGAAACTGAAAACCAGAGTAGGTTAAAATCTGATGATTTGCCTTTTCTTGACTAGTCTCCGAAAGAGAGATTACTCTATTTCCATATTAAAATGTTCCTTTTGATTGCAGAGTCTACTCAGGATGCCAGCTTCCATTTATCTGCTGGCTCTTTTCCCATAGATTACACACATAATTAGGAGGCCCATCCCTCGGGCGCAGGTTAGGAAACATAGGAGGGATAAGATACACCCTCAAATACTACCTGATTTTAGCTATTGTATTTTTTTTTATTGCTATTCCTAAGCTTTTTGCTTCCTTTTGAGCAATCCACAACAGCTGCCTTGACTTTCATTGCTTTTTAACTTTTCCTCTTCTCTACCACAAACATTAGTCAGGCTTTACAGCCGAAGGGTAATCCCAAGTGCTCTTTATCTTCACGTATCCAGGTTTTTGCCTCCCATTTCTTCATATTTATTGAAGACATTAATCCATTCTACACTTGCTGCATCACCTCAGTAAAGCAGAAGGTAAACAGTGGAGAGGATAGAATTCTGTTCAAGATACGGTGACAAAAAAGTACTCCAGATTCAAAAAGTTTTGGATTGCTTGCATGTTTGGAAAAAACCCCACAAACTAAAACCAGCAAATGATCTTAGTTTTTGCTGAAGGCAGTTATTAGTGTTTGTTATATAAATCTTAAAATGTATTAGAAGTTTTTTGTGGTTATGCACTAGATGGTTCATAAGGGGTTTTATATCTCACCTTATCTCCTGACTGTTTGCTATTCTACCTTTCCCTTCCTCACTCCTCTTGTTCTTCCTTTACAATTGTCCAGTTACTTTTTCTATTTCTCTCATCCTAACTCTTTTTATAAACCTTCAATGCAATCCAAAAAGTTATTTGTAAACAAGTTTTTCATAAAGTAATACTATATAATCTTATAAAAGGATACTGTAAGCTTACCAGAGTTACTTAAATCAAAAAACAACTTAGCTTGTGCTGTCTTCTTTCTGTATTTCTTTCTTAGGCTCTTTTCTTAGACTCCTTTCTTAGACTGTTCACTTCTCATCTTAACTTGAATTGTATGTTTTGAGGGGAGAAACAACACCTTTTTTTAAGAAAATAGTGCCCACTTTTATATATTGTGATCATATTCTGTATGCTCACTATCTCATGTATTTTACTGCTCCTTAAATCCTAAATTTCCTGGAAGTGTGGCCAAAAATTATACATCACGTATCTTTTATTTCATTATCTACCTGTTGTCCAACATATCAAATGAAATTTCTTGTCTTATGGCTTAAAGCACCTGCACAACTCAGCCTGCACTTCTCTCCCAAAATGTATCATTAGACATTAATAAGCCTGGACTTTTACATTTCCCAGTCCAAAATACGTATTTAAGGAAGAAACAGCTTATTGTAACATAATAAAAATCTTCTAGAAATTGCAAAATCCTTTTAGTATGCATTACTGTTAAGTGTTAAATGTCGTCATATTTTTGGCAGGGATCATGTCTGAATGTCAGCAAGAAAGATCTCAAATTAGAAACAAAGAGAAGGCTATGCAAATGCTATGTGCTAAACTATACAACGCCAAACTGGAAGAAGAAACCAAAAAGAGAAACAGTGTTCGAAAGATTCAAGTAAGTTTCACTTAGTAAAGATATAATTCTATATGAGCATATGTTCTTGGGGTAACTCCGGTGTTGAACTGCAAATAGTAAATGGAAATATGGAGGAACAGGAGCCCAGGAAGGACTTACATGAGGCAAAAAAATTGCATTCTACTTCGGCAATAAATGTCGTATATTAGCCAGACTTAAAATTTCAGTGGTATTTAAATTCTAGAGGTCTAGTGAAACAAACTGGATTACAGCACAAAGAACCAGAATAGTATTAGAAAAAGACAGAGTAAAATTGTTGTTTTACATGTTTGAGAACATCTACTGCAACTACTGAACTGGTCTGAGTACTATGTAACTACTAATTTTGGATAATCATGGGAGGAAGAGAAAGCTTTCGCTTTAGATGCTTAATCAGTGTTTCATCCTTTTTCTAAAATGCCGATGATGATAAACTGATTCTTGTTGTTTGGTAGATTGGGACTAAAGGAAGATCGGAGAAGATCAGAACATACAACTTCCCACAGGACCGGATTACTGACCACAGGATAAGCAGATCAGTGCATCATATTGAGTGTTTCATGCTAGGGGAAGAAATGCTAGATGAAATGATACACACTCTGAGAGAATATGCTGATTATGAATCTTTAATGGAAATTATTTCAGAAAATGAGAAAAAGAATCTATCCTGACCGTTGCTCTTTGTCAGCCCATTACAACAGATGCAGACATTTGTCTGCAAAGGAGCTTCTTGGAGCACCACCCAGAAAATGCAACTGCTTTGCAGATCATGGAAGACACCACAACTTCTTTCCTCAGGACTGACAAACAGTTTTCTTACTTGCCAAGTCAAAAGACTTTATTACCTTCATATGAGACATTACTGCTGCAGCAGTCCACTTAAGTAAATTTGACTGGGCCAGAAATCACTGCAGTTTTTAACTTTCTCCACTGAGAAGATACTGATACAGCACTCTCAAAAGGTATGCATTAAAAAATGAGCTATTTCTAGTTCCAGATTTCATTTAAACAATAGTTCAAACATCAGTACGGTGTCAAATAGCTTACTTGAGAGAACAAAAAAATCCTATTTTGTTTGAGTGTTTGGAAGAAAGTGATTGATAAATGACCCTACTACTAATCTGCATATTTGTTAATCATTTATATGTGGCATGGGAGAGGGAGTCAATATGTATCTTCATGTTTTCATGGCCTTCTGGCTCTTATTAATAACACAAAGAACTGTTTAGGAATATCCCTTGTTCCAAAGAAAAGAAAAAAATGCTGTGGAAGCCAAGTGACAAGTTACATAAATTGTTTTTGAAAAGGATGTTTCTGTTCATGAGTCAAAAGCGAAAAGAATCATTGCAGTATTGTTTGGCTGATATTTCAGTCTCCATTTGGCTTCAGTTCAGTTTCTCCTTTATGTTTTTAATCGACTCTCCAGTTTATTGATTTTCTAAATGTTACACGGTATTAACGGCATATTACTGGTTTTGTCTATTTATTTAACAGCATCTTAAAACATTTGATCTGTAAAAGCAAAGTAAAATTTTGCCTTTCTAATCTACTGAAATACGTGCATATATTTATATCTGTGGGTAAAGAAGACTTTTAACCCTTATTTTAGACTACGTTTTACAATCCCAAATACATATAGCAATACAAACCCTGCAGCTTCCATGCCACATTATCTCATCATGCATTGTACCTATGCATGTGTGTATACACACACACAGAAAGTATTTGAAATATAAATACCAGTAAATAAGAAATTGGAACCTAAGGAAGAATGTTACCATGAATATAGGGGTGTTTACTTTCAGACTTCTAGTTAATATTAGTGTAAGAAATTAGAATGGGAAGAAAGTAAGTTTGCTACAGATAGCTTACGGAAATGCATTATTTAAACATCCTGTAAGAAAATCAACTGGTTGTTATCAGTTTGTTATCTCCTTTTATTACATTTGAGACTGCAGTTTGAACCAATGCATGTCAAAAAAAACCAGTGTGAGTGTGCAAGGCTGACGGGAGGATCCCAGCTGCATCCATTGACGAAAGCAAACACAGATCATAGAATACTTTGGGTTGGAAGGCACCTTTAGAGGTCATCTAGCCCAACCCCCCTGCAGTGAGCAGGGACAGCTTTAACCAGATCAGGTTGCTCAGAGCCCCGTCCAACCTGACCTTGAATGTTCCTAGGGATGGGGCCTCCACTACCTCTCTGGGCAACCCCTTCCAGTGCTTCACCACCCTCATTGTAAAACAATTTCTTCCTTATATCCAGTCTAAATCTACCCTCCTTTAGTTTAAATCCATTATGCCTTGTCCTGTCACAGCAGGCCTCGCTAAAAAGATTGCCCCCATCCTTCTATAGGCCCCCTTTAA